ACAGAGCCCTCATCAGTAGAGCCTTCCCCAGACTCCAGGACTGGCCCATGTTCCTCCCCAATCTCCTCACTGTCCGAATCTGCTGCCAGCTCTGCTGGCTGCTGGTGGGCCACAACAAGCCACACGAAAAAGTGCTGCTGAGTTTTGTCCAAACCAACCCCTTAGATTTTGAAGCCATGATCTTCTTCTTCTGCCTGGACCTTGTTTGCCTTCAATTTTTCCCTGGAGGATTCAGTGGTATGCCGTATTTTTCTGGGTATCGCATCACATGTCCAAAATATTCTAACTTTTGCTTTTTAATGGTTTTGATGATTTTCCTTTCCCAGGAAGCTTATCACCTCCTCATTTCTGATTTTGTCAACCCAGCTTATAACTAGGCCACCACTAAATCCACATTCCAAATGCTTCTAGTCTCTTCAAGTGGCTTTCTGTCCAAGACCAACTCTGCACTCCGTAGAGCAGGATAGAAAAGATGTAACATCTGACAAGCCTGATTTTCAATCTTAGGCTTATGTTGTGACTGCAAAAGACCTTTAGAAACAGCCAGCTGCTCCTAAAAGAGGACAAACGGCTCTTGCTATTATGAAGTTCTTCTTAAAATCTGTTCAAGCCACTGATCCTTGTCTTGCCACCTGCAGCAACAGAAATTGGCTCTGCCCTTTGTGACAGCCTACCTTGCTTATTGAAAGATGATTACCAGATTATTATCACTTACCTTTAGACTTACCTCTTCAAGCTAAGCGTGACCAACTCTTTCGGTAGTTTCTTACAGAGTTTGGAAAGTGAGTCACCGGAAGCCACTGTGAAGATTATGGGGAAAAAAAATACATTAATTATTTATTTTGTGCATTGTGCTATGCAATTTCTGATCTTATTGATGGATTCATATCAATAGAGAATGTACAAGGTGGTGACATGTTTATTTTTGATATTAGTTCAGTCTTTGTGCTGCTGAGTGGCCCACATCATTACATGTGTGAAATCTCTTTTTAGGACAGAACATTCTAAACTCATTTGCAAGAGCAATGATCAGATCTGTTTTTCTCCCCTCTTCAAGCACCAGTATGTGAACCTGAGATTCTTCATGATATCTAGGGCATAGAATATTATTTCATAAGCATGGTTTTGGTTGCATTTATATTTCAGATTTTTGTATTACTCATTCTGGAGTCTGCCGGACTGGCTATTGGACACACTTACTGGGAACAACAAATTGGGAATTCTTCTTGGTATCTCTATGATGGTGAAGATTATTCCCCTTCATACCGTGGCTTCCTTAACTTTTGGGGCTACATCATTGTGCTTAACACCATGGTTCCCATATCCCTCTATGTGAGGTAAGAAAGACATGAAGTTTCATTATGGTTTGAGTATAACCTTGAAGTTGTTCTAATACGTCAGGGGTTCCAGTCATCATTTGAAGTCCAGTAAATATTTATGTTTGAATGGTATTCTATGACATTACTGGGCAATCATGAAATACTTACCGTATTTTTCAGAGTATAAGACGCACTAGAGTATAAGACGCACCAAGGTTTTGAAGAGGCAACTTTTAAAAAAAAGTGGGTAGGTAGATAGAGGGATAGAGAGGGAGAGAAAGAGAGAGAAATACAGTAGGTAGGTAGGGAGAGAGAGAGAGTAATTAGGTAGGTAGGTAGATAGATAAAGGGAGGCAGAGAGAGAGAGAGAAATAGATAGATGATAGATAGATAGATAGATAGATAGATAGATAGATAGATAGATAGATAGATAGATAGATAGATAGATAGAGTAGGAAGGTTGGGAGAGAGTGTGTGTAGGTAGGTAGGTAGAGGGATAGAGAGAGAGAAATAGAGAGAGAGGGAGAGAAATATAGGGAGAGGGAGAGAGAGAGAGTAGATAGATTGGTAGGTAGAGGGATAGAGAGAGAGAGAAATATAGTAGATAGTAGGAGAGAGAGAGTAGGTAGGTAGATAGGTAGGTAGAGGGATAGAGAGAGAGAAAAAAATATAGTAGGTAGGTAGTGGGAGAGAGAGAGTAGGTAGGTATGTAGATGTTTCCAGGTGTATTTATATCTGTGCTTTAAAAAGGCATGAATAGCCTCAGGGGGGGCTAGAGTGTTCCTGGGGGGGCACAAACGAGCAAAAAGCAGCCCGTTTTTTGCAAAAAACGGCCCCGTTATTTGTCAAAAAAATTGCATGCATAGCTTTATGTAGGCTTATAGTGTGCTGCTGGGGGCTGGGGGAGGCAAAAAACAGCCAATGAACCACCATGGCTCATTGCAGTTGGTCCTGAATCTTAATACAATATTATAGAATTCAGATTAACTGGCTGGACAGGACTATCTCTGCATTGATACTTCAATCAATGGAGGTACCTCTTATCCTTTAAGCAGGCCTAAGGGATGGTCAACCATCTTGGCTGGGATTGTACCAGATGCTAAGTTAAGGAAGATTTAACTTGGTGAATTTTATTTTCAAGAAACCTTTTTAATTAATTGAATGCAAAAAACCAAAGAGAAATATATATAAAATTATAAAGAAAAGAGGAAAAAGTAAAAAAAAAAGGAAACAAAGATATACAGGATATATATTCACAGACACACTTGTGTTAATTTTTTTAATCAAATCCAAATTGAGCATATTGTACAAATACAGTTACAAGTTGCTGTCTTTATTCTCTTCTTTCTTTGCATATCCAAAATAGTTAAAGAGAAGCAGAAAAATGTATCCCTTCTCTGATTAGGATATGGTAATTGGCAGGTTTGTAATTAGCAATAGCACTTAGAATTATATACCGCTTTATAGTGCTTTACAGCTTTCCCTAAGCGGTTTACAGAGTCAGCCTATTGCCCCCAACAATCTGGATCCTCATTTTATCCTGATTGTAAGCCGCCCTGAGTCCCCTCAGGGAAAAGGGCGGCCTATAAATCCTAATAAAATACTAAAATACTAAAAATACCCACCTCGGAAGGATGGAAGGATGGGTCAACCTTGAGCCTGGTGAGAATAGAACGGCTGGCAGTTGGCAGAATTAGCCTGCAGTATTGCATTCTAACCACTGCACCTCCACGGCTCACTAAATACTAATGTAAGAAAAGGGTATTCTGATTTAAAAATTGCTTTGAATTTAGAATACATGACAATATTTCTTAGCATTTATAGAATGATAAGAATTGGAAAGTTGATGACAATGAATCTATAAAAACTTCACTTAATTTGATAGTTTTCTACAACCCCTTCAGAAATTGCTTGATTCATTGGTCATTCCTTAGTAATTCTGTAAAAGTCCACAATTCTTATTAAATGTTTCTTGTGTACTGAAGAACTGAAAACTGGGTAATCTTTGTGGTTTCTTGCTCATTAGTGTTGAAGTGATCCGTCTGGGCCAAAGTTATTTTATCAACTGGGACTTGCAGATGTATTATCCAGAGAAGGATACAGCTGCGAAAGCAAGGACTACCACTTTGAATGAACAATTGGGACAGATCCACTACATCTTCTCAGACAAGACAGGCACCTTGACACAGAATATCATGACCTTCAAAAAATGTTGCATAAATGGACAAACCTACGGTAAATCTAGTTTTCATTACAAATGATTACCAGACGTTCATAGTACAGAGAAAAAATACACCAAATAATTGATTGCTATGAAAATCATACTGAAAGTATGCTCTTCAAATTAAGAAGATCTGAGGATTAAGTGCTTTGCCACATGGAGAAGTCCCTCATTCTTCAATATTTTCATTAATGACTTAGTTGATGAGATGGAGGTGATGCTTATCAGATTTGTACATGATTAAAAAATTGAGGAGAACAGCTAATTTCCTGAAAGGTAGAAATTCCAAACTGGATTATCGATAAATTGGAGAAATAGGTTGAAAAATAACTGCATGAAATTGGATAGACAAATGCAAAGTTCTTTACTTAGAAATCAAGCACACAGGTATGGGATATGAGATATCTAGTTAATTAATACTTGTGGGGGAAAATGTTGCTATAGTTGATTTCAAGTTAAGTGTGAGCCAAAAGTATGATTTGATTGCGAAAAAGGCAAATGTAGTTTTAGAATAAAATCCACAAAATTATAATTTCTAAATTATACATTTCCCTCTGCTTCGCTTCAGTCAAAACCCAGCTCAGTATAGACTGAGACTCTATACTGAGACTCTACTCTTCAAGCAGTATTCAGCAAATGAGAATGGTTTCTGAGAAGAACAAAAGAATTGTTCAGGGCTTAGAAAACAAGATCTACCCCCAAAATAAGACCTAACCAGAAAATAAACCCCAGCATGATTTTTCAGGATGCTCATAATATAAGCCCTACCCCAAAATAAGCCCCAGTTAAGATAGCCAGCCAGATGCATTTAGTACTATAAGGTAAAGGTTCCTCTCACACATATATGCTAGTTATTCCTGATTCTTAGGGGGTGGTGTTCATCTCCATTTCAAAGCTAAAGATCCAGTGCTGTCCAAAGATGTCTCCGTGGTCATGTGGCCGGTATGATTAGATGCCGAAGACGCACATGATGTTGTTACCTCCCCACCAAAGTGATCCCTATCTTTCTACTTGCATTTTTTATATGCTTTCGAAATGCTAGGTTGGCAGAAGCTGGGACAAGTAACAGGAACTCACTCCATTATGCGGCACTAGGGATTCGCCGAACTGCTGACCTTTCTGATCAACAAGCTTAGCCATTGAACCACTACAACCCACCGTTTAGTACTGTATTTTCTCCAAAATAAGACCTAACTGGAAAATAAGCCCTAGTGCATCTTTTGGAGCAAAAACTAATATAAGACCCAGTCTTATTTTCAGGGAAACACGGTATGAAGAGAAATTGAAGGAGCTGTTTATGGTTAGCTGTGGTAAAAGAGTACAGTGGATAGATATAGCAGCACTGAAAGGATGTCACATAGAAGAGTTCTCCCTTGCTCCAAAAAGCATAATATGGAGTAGAAGGCAGATTCCAAATGAATGTTAGGGAAAAGGCAATGGGCTCCTGTTCATTGGATTGTTGAGTGTTCAAGTGGAAGCATCAGGGTGGGATACTTATATTTGGATTCCTACAGTAAGCAGAAAGGAAAATTCAAAGACTCTCCCACCCCCACCTCTATGATGCCATGAACTATTCCTTCACTGGTTGGTATAATTAACTTACAAGATTGACCTGCCACAAAGATAAAATAGGCTTGATAAAACATTAGGCAAATGAATGTAATAATTTACATTATGGCAAGACCAGATGGTCACTGTGCAAACAAGAATTTCCCTTTCTCCTGGAAACCCTCAGCAAAAGATTAGGTTGATCTACCAGATATTTTTGGCTTTGTCCACATGGAAATGCAGCTGGAAGATGAAACTGCTGTTAATCGTGCCTCAGCTGTGCAAATTCCCATCAGGGTCCGTTTCTATGCATCTCTGACTTTCTATGGTATTCTTAGAAGCAGATGGTTGAAGGAGAGAGGTTCTTCTGATAAAACAAGACAGTGCTTGCACCAGAGTTGATATTTTCTTTTGCTTTTCAGGAGAGTGCAGGGACAAAACAGGGGAAGAGCACGATCATTTAGAAGTAAGTAATTTCAGTATGAAACAATTTATCTATTTTTTTTAATTTTACTTTTATTTAGTTATTAAATTTATATGCTTCTCACTATCCAAAGTGACTCTGCAAATTTGGTAGAATTCCAGGAGAGAGTGTCTGTCTCCTGCATATGTCTCTTTACCCTGTTTCCCTGAAAATAAGACCTCCCCGGATAATAAGCCCGATTGGGCTTTTGAGCGCATGCACTAAAATAAGCCCTCCCCCAAAATATTGCAGCACAGGAGCAGGCATGAGGTGACCACGCTCATCGCCTCTTGCACCTCAAAAATAATAAGACCTCCCCCAAAATAAGACCAAGCGCGATGATTGGCATGTATTTGTGGCCTTTTTGATCATCTGACAAGCAAAATCAATGGGGAAGCCAGATTTGCTTAGCAAATGTGTTATTCGCTTAAAAACTTCAGTGATTCACTTAACAACTGTGGCAAGAAAGTTCGCAAAATGGAGCAGAGCTCGGATGCATGCCGTGAATGCTCGGTTAGGGAATTCGATCAAGGGATTAGCCATTATTTAAAATAATGCCTATAATTACTATGTTGTATTTTATTTTTTAGCAAGTTGATTTAAGCTGGAATATGCATGCAGATGGAAAACTTAATTTTTACGATCATTACCTGATTGAAAAAATTAAAACTGGGAAAGAAACTGAAATCCAGCAATTCTTCCTCCTTCTGGCAATTTGTCATACAGTGATGGTAGATGCTAGTGATGGTAAGTGCTACCTGGCATGATCTTATATACGCCCATCTCTCTTTCCCCAAAAATAAGACCTATCCCTTAAATAAGCCTTAGCATGTTTTTACACATGCATCTAATATAAGCCATACCCACAAATAAGCCCTGCTTAACAGCCTGTGTAGCTGCCTCTGGTTGCTCGTGGTGTCGCAGCCACAAGGTGAGGCAGGGGATTGAAGCTTTCCCACAAGCCTTGCACCAGCTTTCCTCAGGGCCCCCGCACCCAGGCCATCCATGCCCTGACACCTGTCTCACGGTGGCAGCATCAACAGCTATGGGCAGCAGGAGCCCACATGGTCACTGGCCCACTTCTGCTTGTTTGCTTGCTGGTGCCGCGACCACGAAGCGAGGCAGGTGTTGGGGCATGGATGGCCTGGTTGCAGGGGCCCTGAGATAAGCCGAGGCAGAGCGCGTGGGGAAGCTCCACCCTCCCACCTTATGGCGGTGAGCCTCCTTCCGTGCTGCGAGCAAGCAGAAGTAGTGGGCCTCCCATACATGGGGGGGGGGGGAAAAAAAAAAAAACCCCTAACCATCTTCACATGCAGCATGTCGTTTGATTACGGTTGTTTTAACATCTACATCTTCAACTAAATATATTTCAATAGAAAGCTCTTTGGCTATTGTGACTCTCCTGGGTAATTTTTACTTAGCTTGGGACATGGGGGGGGGGGGATAAAAAATAAAAAACCCCTGAAAATAAGCCCTAGTGCTTATTTTGGGGCCCAAAAGACAATAAGACGGTCATATTTTTGCAGAAACGCAGTATTTAATGCGCACTGTACAATGCCAAAGAATCTTTTTCGTTTATTCATTTTGAGCAGCCACCCACATCTTATTAGTGACTGTGTGCTTAATTTTCAAAGTCGCTTATATCTTTATTTTCCCAAAGGACACATTATTGTAAGGAACACCTGCCCTACTATTTCAGATATTACTATCACATGATCATTTGTTGGCCAATATTTGCAGTGGTGTGAAACCATTTTGCTGACATTGGTGCTCAAAGCCTTCTACTCCCTCTTATCTCATAATTCTCCCCCTCCTAAACTCTAGTCCATATTAAACAAATTTATCTTGGTTATCACCTGAATCAGAAGCATGCTTGTTTGCATAAAATCCTTTATTTGCTTCTCAATCCTATGTGAGGTCTTTAATTAACTATGGTTTTGCAGTTCATTGCAAGAACGGAATGTTTCACCTAATCATTAATTAGGTTTGGAATAAATCAGATTATTGAAGCAACTTCAAGACTGGTTTAATGGTGACGATACAGGTGGGACTTACAACAGTCCATTTAGCGATCGTTCAAAGTTACAACGGCACTGAAAAAAGTTGACTTACGAACGTTTTTCACACTTACAAGTTTTGCAGTATCCCCATGGTCACAGTTCATTTAGCGACCGTTCAAACTTAACAACAGCACTGAAAAAAAGTGGCTTTCACTTTTTTTTATCCTTTTCACTCTTACGACCGTTGCGGCATCCTCGTGGTCACGTGATCAAAATTTGGATGCTTGCCAACTGGTTCATATTTATGACCGTTGCAGTGTCCCAGGATCATGTAATCCCTTTTTGCGATCTTCTGACAAGGTCACAAGGTGAATCTGACAAGCCAGATTCACTTAACAGCTGCGTTACGACCTTAACAGTCGCAGTGATTCCTTCCAACAAATGTGGCGAGAAAGGTTTCAAAATGGGGCATAATCCCCTTAACAAATGTCTCACTTAGCAACATAAATTTTGTGTTGTGGTTGTAACTACCTGTGTCCTTTTTGCCACCATAGTTGTTCAAACCACATTCTGATGATAGGATATCCTGCCTGATAATCTGCTAAAATCTGGGGCTCAGAGGTGACTCTAGAACAGTGGTAGCGAATCTTTTCGGCACCAAGTGCCCAAACCGGAACATGCGTATATGCATGTGCATATTTGCGCATGCATGCACCAGAGTGCCGGAAACCTTAAGACCAGCTGGCCGGTGCACATGCGCGCAGTGGCCAGATGCTCTTCTGGTTTCTGGTGTGTGCATGCAAGCTGCCCACTTGGTCTTCAGATTTCCGGTGCTCTGGCGCCCATGAAGCATGCCTGAAACCAGAAGAGCAGTTGGCGATGATGCCCGTGCCCACGGAGAGGACTCTGTGTGGCACTAGTTCGCCATCATAATTCTAGAAAGTCCTATATATCATTTCATGCCGTTTTGATCGCCACGATGTAGAAAAGATGTGGAGACTCTCAAAGAGTGCAGAGAAGAGCAACAAAGATTATTAGGGGACTGGAAGCTAAAACACATGAAGAACAGTTGAAGGAACTGAGTATATCTAGTCTGATGAAAAGAAGGACTACGGGAGACATGATAGCAGTGTTCCAAAATCTCAGGGGTTGCCACAAAGAAGGGGGAGTCAANTGTGGCAGGCCAAAGATCCAAAAGAAAAGATGGCTGCAAGCCTGACAGAATGATTGCTAAGTGACCGGTCTTAAGTCTTAAATCGAGGATTATCTGTCTACGCAGTTCTTCATTTTGATTATTGTGACCTGACACAGTTCTTAAGAGTTGAACGGTGTATACAGTAAGTTTGATAAATAATAGTGATGATGATTAGGATGAGTGAAGATTCTTATATTTAATCCCCAAGGAGAATCTGTTCAGGTCAGAAACAAATACGTTCTTTCAACCACTGTTTTTCCCCTCTCTTTGACAGATCTTTGCAAATGAATCCCTTCGGACATTGTGCCTTTGCTACAAGGAAATTACCCATTATGAATATGAATTATGGGAAAAGAAGTTCATGGCAGCTTCTCTGGCCTTAACAAATCGTGACGTGGCTCTTGACAAAGTGTATGAAGAAATTGAACAAAATCTAATTGTAAGTCTAATGGGGAACTGAGATAGGAGTTTTATTCTTTGACCTTCCATTTGATCTTGCAAGTGTTTCTTAAGTGTTTCTATCCCTTTTATCACCTTGATTTTCCAGTCTGTACAATAGCTATAAAGGCACATATATTCTTTTTTTATTGTTTTATTATTATTTTGAAAGCATGTGAGTAAAGATAATATAAGTAAGAGATATAATAAAAGATGCATGAAAACAGGAAATAAGGTATGAATAATAAAACAGAGGTGTGTAAAACGATGGATCTGAGGCATTCATAAAAACTAATATATTCCAGCATATTACAGTATTAAGGATTATAACTGTCAGGCCCAACCCAAGAACAACATAGAACAATTCAGTCAAAGTTCAGTTCTTTATTTGCTCACAGCATATAGACAGAATCTTGCCAGGCAAAATCTTTGTTGCTTTTCCACAAGAGATTCTAGGGAGTGGCCATCCTAACTTTCTTCCTCTGCTTCCTATTCAACTCTGGGCTGGGATGACTATTTTCTCAACCCCTCCTTGAAATGTGCTTCTTCCTCCTTCCTGGGAAACTGCCACTTTACTTTAGTCCATCACACCACCACTTCCCCAGTGGTAGAATTCAGCAGGTTCTGATCAGTTCTGGAGAACTGGTAGCAGAAATTTTGAGTAGTTCAGAGAACTGATAAATACCACTTCTGACTGGCCCCGCCCCATGTATTCTCTACCTCCCGAGTCCTAGCTGATTGGGAGAGAATGGGGATTTTGCAGTAATCTTCCACTGGAGTGGGATGAGAATGGAGATTTTACATTATCCTTCCCCTGTCACACCCACCAAGCCCCTTTTTACAATCACTCCTGTACTGAAAACTTCCCCTCCCAAATACCATGCCTCCCCCTCCCCATTTCAATGGCAGCCGAAAGCAAGTAGCGAAGCAGAGGCTGACAGGTCATTTGATGATGCTAAGATAGCTGCTCTCTCTTTCTCTCAGGGTAACCTAACAAATAGGATGTTAATCAGATAGTGTTTGGTTGGGACATAAAAGAATAACGTAGTGTAGGAGGAAATAGCAATAGCACTTCGACTTATATACCGCTTCATAGTGCTTTGCAGCCGTCTATAAGCAGTTTACAGAGTCAGCCTATCGCCCCCAGCAATCTGGCTCCTCATTTTACCATCCTCAGAAGGTTGGAAGGCTGAGTCAACCTTGAGCGTGGTGGTATTTGAAGTGCCGAATTGCAGCTAGCAGTCAGTTGAAGTAGCCTGCAGTACTGCACTCTAACCACTGCACCATCTCGGCTTAAAAATCCGTTCTGGTTCCAAGCCGGGAGAAGTGGGAAATAAAATGGAGGCTGGCTGTTTGGAAAGAAAGTCTCTGTTTATTTGGCTGTCAGAAACTTCAGAGACTAGATGGATCTTTATAGGGTTCTGATTGAGATGCTCCAGGAGGTTGTGCAATGTAGAGCCTTGTGTCTTTTGCTATTCTAATGGTGGTGGGTTAATCCTATCATGTCCTAGACTCATGTCCTATCCTTAGAATTTGGGTGGAGAATGTAGATTTTAGTGGTCTTTGTTTTTCTACTTGTAATCCCTTCTGGGGCAGCTGGGCTGAAGTCATTTTGTTTATAAAGAGTTCAGGCATCGGTTGGACGCTGGTTTACTATGCAGGAAGACTGGGACTGCTTTCTGCCTTTAATGAGGGAAATGTTCCCCCATTTCTCCTTTGAGGAAATGTTCTATCCTGTCTCTTTTAATATTAAGAATAAAGAATATTTTAATCTGGGAAAGGGGACTTCCTAGTATGGTGTAATAGTGAATATTATTTGGGTCCTGGATTAGGAGGCCTGATGGCACAGTGGTTAGAATGCAGTATTGCACACAAACTCTGCCCACAGCCTGGAGTTCAATCAAGACAGGGTTCATCCTCCCATCCTTACGATATCAGTAAAATGAGGACACAGATTGCTGGGGCAATGTGCAAATAATGTTTGTACATTGTAAATTTCCCAGAGAGTCCTGTAAAACACTATGGGGTGGTATAACAGCCTAAATATTATTGCTATTGCTAAATTCCCATTCAGCTAGAGAACTCATTAGGGCCAATCACCTTCCTCCCAATCCATCCTATTTCTGGAGATAAAATTAGAGATACCGCCATGTAAAACCACTTGGGCATCAAAAGATACAGTGGGATATAAGTAATAACTAAATATTACCTAGGTACACTAATATCCATGGTCACATCCTTCCAACTTGTAGCTTTTCTCATGGAATGTCAGGATAGCCACTTTTAATATTTTTATAGTTTGTGTGAGTGATAAACCATTAATAGCTAAAATGTACCTACTGTATCCATCTATATAAATAAAAATGTAAATGTTCGTTTGTTCAAAATCTTAAATCTCCGCTTTGAAATTTTGACACAATGTTGCATTCGAATACGCGCGTGTTTTTATATACCTATATTATATAGATGTCACACCTGTGACAGGTAAAAACATTCTTTTTTGAAAACCAGCGCCATCTGTTGGACGTAAAAGCAACACATCCTATACTAAATATTTCGCGATTACAT